CTTACAGTCCCTGGGTTATTTTTTCCCCAGTCCAACTGGCCTCTCTGTGCCTTCAAGCAACAAGGTCTCCCCTGGTGTTGCTCAACCCCCGTATTCCGGGGAGGGAGCAGTGACTCCCCTCTCCCGGGAGCCCTGATGCAGACCCGGGAGCACCAGGCCTGGGGACTGCAACCCCCCTGGTCCCTGCACTGATCCCTGGGTCCCTTTTGTCCTGAAGCAGTCTCCTTACCGTCTGGTTTTTCAATGATCACAATAATTTTTGAGGTCCTGTTTTCAAAAATGTTTCCATAACCTAGGCCACTTGCTCTGTTCCCCCACCGATCCGCGAGTTTCCCTCCTCTTCACAGAAGCTGAGAATCATGCTGCCTAGAGTAAAGCTGCCATCTTCCCCCCCCCCCACTTCATTTTGAATTTATTCTTATGTGTGGTGTAAGAAAGTGGTCTACTTTCATTTTTCTGCATATATCTGTCCAATTTTCTGAACACCATTTATTGAATAGACTATCTTTAGCCCATTGTATATGCTTGCTTCCTCTACTGAATATTAATTGACCATAAAGGTATGGGTTTATTCCTGGGATCTCTATTCTGTTCCATTGATTTATGTGCCTGTTTTTATGCCAGTACCATGCTGTTTTGATTACTATGGCCTTACAGTATTGTTTGGTATTAGGTAGTATGATTCCTTCCATTTTATTCTTCTTTCTCAGGATTGCTATTTCTATACGGGGCCTTCTGTGCTTCTAGTTCTGTGAAATATGGCATTGTAATCTTGATAGGAATTTCATTGAATCTATAGATTGCTTTGGGTAGTATGGACGTTTTAATGATGTTAATTCTTCCTATCCATGAACATAGTATGTGCTTTCACTTACTTGTATCTTCTTCAACTTCTTTCTTCAATGTTATAGTTTTCCAAATACAGATCTTGCATTGAAGAAGGAATAAAACAATGCAGGAATAGTGGTTAATTACACTAAAGGGAGTAAGAGATTTGAGGGGGAGAAAGCTAAGATTGCAGTGAACAGATTCCTCCAATAAGAGGGGAAAGTATAAATGAAAGGCCTGCCTATGAAGACAAAACAATGAAAATAAGCTCACCTCTCAACTGCTCTTTAGGATGGTGCCACTGAAGAAGAAATATAGAAGCCATGACTGAACCTGGGATGGGAGTTCATAGAAATAACAGGAGAGGCATGAGGCAACAGAGAGCAAACTACAGTACTTCTGAGTACACCCACCGCAGAAAAGTTTGAGAGTCTCCTTCTTATAGCTTTAGGTATTGTTCATAAAAAGAGTGACTGGAAGGCAGCTATGCTCACAACTCTCCCACCAATGCACACACAAGATGGAGGCCCGAGTCTGGCGGGGTGGAAGAGCTCTTTGACAAGCATAACCTGGGAGACAGTGATGAGAGCTGAGCCTCAGGCAGGCTTTCCTTTGCCACAGGTGACTTCACTGGTCACTACAGGACATGCATGTTGGGGTTACCTTTATCTTTTGTATACGCTGTACCAAATCATCTACTTATGTTCTTTCATTTGTACCATTCCATTGAATAAAGTAATTTGGTATTACACCCCATACTCCCCCTCAAAAAGGATGAATAGCATAACTGCTTACAGATTATACAGTTCTAGCCAGTGATTAGACAACAACTCGGTGGACTGAAGAGCAGTCTCTGAGAGGGAGCAATGAATGTCCGATGCCTTTGGTAAGTGATCTGAAGATGATTTACTGCTGTAAGCCATGACTATATTTCTCATCTTCTGAGACAAGATTTAACCTTGGCACTACTGACATTTTTTATGAACACTGCCCTGTGCATTATAAAATAGTTAGCAACATCCTTGGCTTCTACCCACTAGATGCCCATAGTAGCCCCCAGTTATAACAACCTAAACTCGCCACACACTTTGTCAAATATCTTGGGGGAAGGATGGCAAGATCACTCCCAGATGAAAATCATTGCTCTGAGGGAATTTGCCAGAAAAATTAATGAAATTAAGACTTTGAAGTAACACAGAGCACAGGGAAGAGAAACTAGCAAATAATAGACCAGGTCCAGTTCTGGTATAGATGCTGTTCCAGTGTGAGAATGCCTCCCAGGTAGAATTTTCATGATGGGTATAAGATTAGACAAGATTCATTTAAATAGTAGATACATTGGGCAGTCAGAACTCACTGACTTCACATCTCTCATAATCAATTACAAGACAAACTCAAGAGGAATGTGCTAGAAAAATACATGCTTTGGCCCATTAAAAAAAGATTTAAAAATACCAAAATAGAACAAAGAATGCTAATCCTAAAAAAGGTAAAGGAAGAGGCCAAAATGAAGTAGCAGATTTAGCCTGCTAAAATTCATCTAGGTGTTTCTGAAAGGAGGAATAATTCACATAAATAGAGCACAAGAGGCATATCTGCATCAATGCATAAAAATATTGAAGGAAAAATATTTTATGCTGTTTTTAAAGTAGTACAAGATTTTCAAGGCCCAGACAATAAAACAATGCATTGAAAGGAATAAGGTTGAGAAAGATGGTGAGGCCGAGGGAATAGTACTCCCAGGCTCCTGGGCACAAAAGCAGCAGCAGCAGCAGCCTGACTCACTGCCTCAGGGAAACAACCCACTCAAGCTGATTCTCCAGAACAGAGGAGGGAACAAGGAAAGAACCAGCAGGCAGGTCCACAGACCCGAGCAGCTCCACGGCAAGAGGCAGCAGCAGGACGGATTCAAACTAACTCCCTTGTCATCAGAAAGATAAAGGTTATGACACCAGATAGAACTCACAGCCGACTCAATGCTGGCATGCTGGAAACACAAAAGTACATGGAAAAATGAATAGATTTTGAAGATGCTGGGTAGGAAAGAATTACATCTCAAATAAGACCTGGCGGCTCGCAATAAGAGTATGGTAAATTTCTATATCTTGTAAGATGGCAGGGAATCAAACATCACCTCTCAGAACAAGGCCCTATTCTTAAGGGGTCTCTATTCACCCACTAACTGGAAGATTTCAGAGACATGAGTAAGTTCAAAGGTGAGGTTTCAGACAATAGGCGCAGGCGGAACGTTACCTGGCAAATCTGAAACATGAGTTTCACTTATTTGGACACAAATGATCTTTCCTGTGGTGCATGGCAATTGTCATATGGATTCAAACTGTGCTAAAATCAAGGTTCTGAGAACACAAGATTTTGACTTGGGTAACTATTTTTGGTCCACATATTAGCTTATTTTCAGTTTTTAGGGTGTAGGGCTGGTGCTAAAATTTTCCTTTATGACCTTTCAACCCTTAGGGTTGCTTAAAAAGTTGAGTGAGCAAGAGAAATCTGATAAAGAAATAATTTAACTTCAGTGGGTTTGGAAGAATTATTTCCATGTCAGTTAAAAACAGTCCATGATTCTGCCATTGGAAAAATCCTGATCCTAGCCCGTCATCTCTGCCTGGAGGCGAGTGGAGTTTAATTTGTGGATTTTAATTTCTCTGCAAATTTAATTTTGGAAAGGTTTTATATTATCCAATTTTTACTGTTACAGGTATTTTTAAAAGCAGCTACTTAGACTCACTGCATAATTCTTGGTGAGTTATTTTTAATTCCATAGGGTTTTTCTCTCTTCTTTCTTTCTCTCTTTCTCTCTCTCTCTTTCTCTTTCTTTCTTTCTTTCCTTCTTTCCTTCCTTTCTTCCTTCTGCCCTCCCTCCCTCCCTTCCCCCTGCCCTCCCTCCCTTCCTTCCTTCTCTTCTTCCTGTCTTTCTTTTCTGATGCTTCTCTTTTTTTTTGGTTTTTCTTCTTTGATTTTATCTACTTGAGAGCAGTTCTCATTTGTCTTTTATTACAGCCTCTTATATTTATTTCTGTCTCTTCCATTATTTCTGACTTGATAGAAGCCACCAGTCCTGATTGTTTAGCCTGAGTACCCTCCCTTGAGTTCTTGAGTACTTTAAGTGGGCTGCAATTTTTCCTGGCCTGGTTATCTATGCCAGTTCCCTTGAACTTGTACAGGTCAGGTTCCTGGGGTCTCTGAGGTAGCATCAGGGAAGTTTTTGTTCCTCTGGAACTGACAGTCTAATAGTTTAAAACTGTGATTTTTCTGGTTAGGCATGAAATCTGGGCTGAGGTAATTAAATGTTGCCCAACTACACAGAATGCACAGCTGCTCCCAGGACTGCTGGTCCCAGCAGAATCAGGAAAGTCTGTCCCAGAACCTGCCCCCGCAACAAGCAGACAATGCAGCACCTGTCATCCAGTCATGTAAATCCACTGGCTTCTACCAGAAAGACCCTTTCTGGCAACTCCCCAAGGCTCTCCCTGTATCTTTGGCTCTTCCCACTCAAAGACACAGTCCAAGCCAGCATTCTTTTATTGTTTAAAGATTACATAGCCTGGGATTCGAGTCAAGCCCTACTGAGAGGCTTATTTCAGTTTTTCATTCCAAAGAAGACAAGAGGGAAAATGTCAGCAACATGTATTAATATTATTCACCTTCAGAAATCTACTTTCCCCTCTCTTATTCTTTAATAAGAATAAGAGGGTTTATTCCCCCCTCTTATTCTCAAAAGGACAGCTCTTCTAGCTCTTATATTTCCCTTGATAAAATAAGCCTTCGATACATGTTTACATAATTAAAATATTGATCATCCTGAAAAATAAGTATTTTCAAAGTCTATTAAAGAATCTGTTTCCCTTTATGAAAATAAAATCTTTGATCTGGTTAATTCAAACCCAATGCTCTTTTGTAAGTAACTTGATATGTGTAGCAATTATAAGCCTATTTGTAACTCATGAAGCAACAGTTGATAATATTAAGCTTTCAGATATTCTCCAATAGTCAATTATTCAACAAATATGTATCAAATGCCTACTAATTGCCATTGTTTTGGGTTCTGAGGACACAGCTATGAACAAAGTAAACAAAAATGCCAGTTATTTTGGAATGTATGCAATACCCATAAAACAACAGGGCTGCTCAAACAATACGGCATCTTTACTGACCTCACAGGGAATTTCTGTAGGGAGCACCACTGCCAGTGGTGCGCTGCTTCTTGAAACTTCTGGTAATTCTTCAATTTGATTTTTCTCACTTGCTCCCCCAGGATGTTCCATTTTTACATCTGTTGCAACATTGAACTCGAGGTAGTCTTCAGAACCTAGACAAGGTGCATGAATGCAGATTATAATACAGTTAAGGCCATTTTATTTCTTCTGCTCTTAAAAAAAGACTATGCTGATCAATTTAATTAATATACAGAACAACCAAACTGTGTTAAAGGGCCAATGTTGATAATTACAATTGCTTTGCAATTTTACTGGGGGTGTAACCTTAGTGACTAAACTGAAGCAATTATATAATAAGTCCATGCACTAGTTAAACGTTTGCCCCACAAAAATCCAACCATGATTTAATATTTTATCTTACTATTAAAACAGCAATTCTAAAAAATATGTAACTACATATTTTCAATGACTGTAATTAAGAAAACGTATTTTATTTTAAATAAGAACAATTTAAATAAGAGTAATTAATTTACTTTTCACATATATTTCTAGTTTTTAAAAACAAAAAGCTTAACTAAGAGACACTCACTAAAAAAACTGGTAGAAACATTAGTTTAATAATGAATTATTAGTGTTCTTCAAAGTGTTAATGTGTTCTATGAAAAAAAGTATTCTATACCAAATAAGTTGGATTTCCTTATGGCAGTTTTACTACAACACTGAAATATGGTCATGTGAATTTAGAATTTCAGAGAAGGAAAAACAGTATCTGATTTTTTAAATTTTAACTTTTAGTAATTTATCATTTGGTCTTAATCATTAAAATATCTTTCTGTATTAAAGGGAAAATTTTGTGCTTAAGAGAGATAATATTATTTTATTACTCAATATTTCAAAGCCCAAAGCATCATTAAGGCAAAGAACCAGTGTGGCTGAAACCGAGGCTCTAACAACTAGATCACATCTGTAAAATCTTAGGCCAACCCCAAAAGTACTCCTCAATTTCCAAAAAAGGGACTTGGAAAATAAGAAAGAAGACCCTGACGCTGGAAACTGGCCAGACCCTGTGCAAATGATGTTGCTCTTAGCAACATCAACATCAGACAAAGCTCCTCTGTCATCGTGATGGACCACGTTAGAGGCGAGACCGCTGTGAAATCATGTCTGAATCTAGGCAAAAACTGGACATTGACCAAACCACAAATATGACTGATTACTCCAAGTTCTGGCTCCTGAAAGTGATATCACTTCTTCACCAGTTCCAGCCTCAGCCTCTTCACACTTCTCTTGCTTTCTGGATAGATAAGGTGACTAACTCCTCCCAGTTTGCGTAGCATTTTCCTGGTTTGGGCACTGAAAATGCTGTGTCCCAGGAAATGCTGTCAGTCCTAAGCATACTGGGATAGTGGGCCACCTCCTTCTTGATAAGAGTTATGGTTGTACCAAATTATAAAATTACACCTGCTTTTTGACATAACTATGCTTCCTTAAACTCTCCCTCAAATCACTTAACACAAGCCTAAATCCTACAGTTAAGTTTTTTTTAACACCCTCTTACTGAGACACCCTATGGTTTTCCATGATGCCCTCTATTAATTACAAATTAATTACAAATAGCAAAAACAACAACAACAACAGCAAACAAATAGTTCAAATACAGGTGTGTTCCTAGTGATCTTTGGCTAAAGGAAATTGACAGGGAAAAAAGGAAGAAGAGCCAAAAGCAATAAAGATGGAAATAGCTAGACTTTAGTCTCATTGTACCCAAGGAAAGTGAAGCCACCAGTTTCATACAGGCAATTCCCCCAGGAAAGCAGAGTAACAGAAGAGCTGCCCTCTGGAGAGAAGCTGTCCCGTGCCACATTAAGGAAAGGGCTTTTTCTTTTCACTACCTTGTGAAAGCTGCAGAATAAAGGCACAAAGGACTTGGGATTTGCAGATTTCTCCTAGTATTAGCCTTGCTTGAAATTAAAATTTTAAAAAGCCTCTACTTCTCTACCAGTTTAGAACAATTTTGTAAAGTGCCTCATTCTCCCTATCTCTCTGTCTTTCACACACACACACACACACACACACACACACACACACACACTATAAAAAGTTACAGAACTGGCTCAACCATTTTGTGAATTGATGAAAGAACAAATAAACTAATTGTATTTAATATACCTTATAAGAAGGAGGTATAAATTATTCTAGCATGGAAATACGTGGGATGTTTTCTGATAATTCCTCTGTGTTATTAGATTAAGAAGAGCTATTTTGTTTTACCCTAAGGACATAGTCATGGATGTACAAGATGATTTATCTCTGTGAGTGTTCACAGAAGCACAGTTTATAACACAGAAAATTGGAAGCAGTCTGAGCAATGAGAGACCAGATAAAAATATGTAATGTCACTAATAAAAATTCCATCAAAGAATATTTAACAAGAAACAAGTTTATAATATAATTGAAAACATTCAAGTTGCAAAACCGTCAATTTAATAGGTTCCCATTTTAGTTAAAAAACAAAAATAGGAAGTCTGGTTTCAGATATCACATGTAAGGAACCCATTCTAACAAACAGAAAGTTGAACAGACTAAAAAAATTCAACAACTTTTCTTTTGATACTTAAGCAGGGGGCAGACACAGCACCACTGCTGACCCCAAGGTTGGAGACGCAGGCAGGCGAATACAGTAGACTCAGCTGACCAGAGACTCAGCAGTGGAAAGCACCCAGGTACCAGTGCTCAGCAAGGGAAAACTGAACTGTAATTGACAAATTGCTGGATGCTGAATCTGGACAAGTCTGAGAGTTAAACACTCCAGGGGAATCTAGTCAAAGCCGGGAAGAAAAGAAGACGTTATTTTGAGATTTATCTTTTCCAGGAACTTAACTAGATTCCCACAGTGAATACTGGAGAAAATTTCCCTCCTGCTTCTAGCAGAAGGGAAAAGTACCCCTTTTGGAATAGCCCAGAAACTTCTTAGCACCACCTGCCCTGAAGGGGAATTAGTTAACTTGAGCTCCCACTACTGTGGTATTATGGGAGTTTGACTGACCTAGGGAGGAGAAATAAATACCCACCTGCATCCCACCATAAACAGTCAGCACCACAGAAAGGGCAGAAAAACAAAACAAAACTGAGAAACCTTTGTGAGGTTCATGGTCCAGAGGCACAGGCTCACTAAACAACCGAGAGCTAATTGTAGGGTTAAAGAAAGCTTCCCCTCCCTCTATACCTTACTACCATATTAATAAAGACCAATTTCCAGCAGTTCCTTTCATCCCCAGTAAGGAACCCTCCATTGACATTGTGTGTGGGGATTGAGAAAAGATTATAAGGTATATCAAAATGCAAAAAACAATTTGATGAGACAGACTACATATTAGAACCAGACAAGGCAGAGATGATGGAATTATCAGATTAGGAATTTGAACAACTATCATCAATATGTTAAGGGCTCTAACAGATAAAGTAGACAACATGAAAGACTGGTTATGTAAGCAGAGAGACGGAAATCCTAAGAAAATTTTTTTAATTCTAGAGATCAAAGACACTAACAAAAATAAAAAAAATGCTTTGATGGATTTATTAGTAGATTGAGCACAACTGAGGAAAGAATATCTGAGCCAGAGAATATCTCAATAGAATTTTAGGGAGCTGAAAAGGAAATAGATCAAAGACTAAAAAACCCCATAATGGAATATCCAAGGACTTTGAGAATCCTATAAATGGCATAACATGTGTGTAATGGGAATACCAGAAGGAGTAGAAAAAGGCAAAGGAACAGAGGAACTATTTCAAACAATAATAACTGCAAATATTCCCAAATTAACATCTGAGACCAAATCACAGATCCAAGAAACTCAGATAATATCAAGCAGAAAACATCCCAAACAAGTACAGGAAGTAATGACATCTTCAAATGGCAGAAAGTCAAAGATAAAGAAAAAAAAATTCTGAAAAATGAGCTACAGAAAAAAGAAAACCTTACCTATGGAAGAACAAAGATAGGAATTATAGCTGACTTTTCAGAAACCATGCAAGCAAGAGGACACTGAAGTAAAATATTTACAGTGTAAGAGAAATGAACCTCTAACCCAGAATTCTGTGTCCTATGAAATTATCCTTCAAAGATAAAGAAAAAATAAAGACTTCTCATAAAAACAAATTGTTGAGATAATTGTGGTCAATAGACTGGCCTGCAAAAAAACTTGAAGTTTTTCAGTGAAAAGAAAAATGATACAGGTCGTAAACTCAGATTTACATAAAGAAGGGAAGAGTATCAAGAAGAAATAACTAAAGGTAAAATGTAAACATTTATTTTTCTTATTATAATTGATCTAACAGATACCATTTTGTTTAAAATAATAGCAACAATGTATTCAATTATATATACATAAGCATATATATATATAGTATATATATATGCTTATGTATGTTTATATGTAAATGAAATGAATGACAGTAATAATAATAGGGATATGGAGGAAGAGACTAAGATTATTTTTGTATTATAAGGTACTAACACTGCCTATGAAGTGGTCTAGTGTTACCTCATGCAATGGGATGGTGCCTTCCTTATTGAATTATTTTGATTACATTTAATAATATGTGTAATATGGTAGGTCTAGAGTAGGTACTCAATATTAGTTTCCATCCCTTTTTTTATTTCTGATATCAAAATGAATAAACATTATGTTTTTATTTTTAAAAGATTCTAAATCAATCTTTTTCAGTTTGTATATCCAACTACAATTGAGAAAGGATTACAACATTCCCATAGAATTTCAACACTAAACATCATTATTTTTGTCACATTAAAGACTATAACACTACCCACCAGTCAGGTAAGTAAACAGATATTTCTCCAAGAGATAAAGGAAACAAGTGTGCTTTAAAAAAAGATACAATTTCTACAAACATATTGGTCTAGTGCTCAGCATTCTCAAACAATCATTTGTTGTCTGTGGTGCATTATAAGAAATATTTCAGTCAATGATATTATTAATGATAATAATTATTAATAATGATAATAATAAAACTGCTTACCTACTATACACACACACACACACACACACACACACACACACACACACACATAAATGAATATTCTCAATACAGCCTAGTAAATGTTGGTTTCCAAAAAGAAGATCATACATCT